AAATATGTAAAAATTACAATATAGTATATACTTAAAATATTTAAACAATTAATATTAATAATATAAATATTCTTAAACAAATAAATTTATCATTTAAATAAATATTTGTGGATATTAATAAAATCATAATCAAACATTTTTATGAATAGGTACTGCAAAAAATAAAATAACACAGTGATGCGTTGATGCACATAGTAATATATCCTAACTGATATTATAATTAGTTATAATTATAACTGCAATACCTGATAAGTAAGGTATTCGCCAACCGAGTTTATGACATATAGTATTTTTAGTTTATGTATCGAGTATTTCATAATAAGTATCTTAAAAAAATACTCAATAGATAAAAATATAGGTAATTTTGAAATATTTATTTTTTTCTAAAGATTAATAATTGTTGTTATCATAACAGTAGTATTTGGTTTATGTGCTTATATTTTTAGTCTTATTAATTATTGTTATATTTTGGCTAGCTGATCTCACACAGCGTTGTCCGTGGCAAATTAAATAATGCTACTATACGTTGACAACTTTAATTTTTATATATATAAAAAATATAAATTACCTATGCATAATTTATCCTTATCAGTATTTATAAGCATTTTATGTATGAAATCACAGATATGTGTAGTAACTAGATAGCTATTATAACTGATTATATATTCCAAATGTTATGCTAGTTAGCTATCTAATATTATACTATTATATATATATATATTTGTGAATGAAATATATAAGATGTGGTTGTCATTATTTTTTGTTACTGTTTTAAATTATAATACACACTGTTTCTGTAATTTTTTTGTACCACTAAATTACTTTGGGTTGTTGTAAACACGTTTCAAAAAAAATCTAACCTAAAACGTCACTCGTATCAGTGGTATCGTAAATGATTTCATCGGAAACGGAAGTCAAACAACATTTTTAAATTTTGGCGGAAACGAATTGAAACTGTGGCTGGTTGCATTATTCAATATTAGTGGGAGGCTGGTTGTTCGAGGGGCGTTATCATGGATGAAACGATTATGACTGATGGATCACAGTCCGCCAGATAGAGCTGCGCGCGTAATTGTATACGGTGACTGCAGTTTATGCTCTTTGTTCGATATGATATTATTGTGTCGTTTGTTCCTCCACCCATCCCGACAGTTGGTTAATACACCTTTTCGCTTTTTTACTCTTTCTCACTCGCTCTCAACGTTTTTGTCGATTTTTTTTTTTGTCTCCCCGCGCGCGCATGTAATCATCGTCGCGACGACCCTCCGACGACTCACCTACACAATTAAAATGGCGGAACGTTATCAACACAACAGAAGATGTCATTGACGCTTTCCGTTGTTTACGATGCCAAATCCAATTCTTTAGGAAGGTAGTTTTTCCGTCCGTTCGGGATTATTGCTGCGTCCTATCGTTGCGCTTTTGACAAGATCTAGGGACGACGATGCGCGCGCGCGCGTCCCAAGTGTTTTGGACTTCTTGCTGTCGAACGGTCTCAACCACTGCTTGGCTAGCGTCTCCTTCGATTGTCGTCTGTGCGTGACCGTACGCAATATAGCCGTTTCCCGAAGTCTCTCAGGTCTTCGTGTTGCAAGTTAATGTTAAAAAGGTAAGTTAAACTAATGCTTGCGAAATGTCGCCCGTGGGTGTCGAATCGCGTATAGTGTACTTACAGTATTGTTGTCGTTGTTCATAGGTACAATGACAGTCTCCAGCCAATAAGATTGGTGACGGACCATCTGACCGAACGGCTGAACCTTGACAGTGCATGTGCACTGCCGTTGGCCAATTCAGGTTCTGCGTACTACGAACCGAAACCGATCAAAGCGACAAAGAAGGGCCGGCCTACGACTGGACAACATATTCGGCTTGCGGCCAAAAAAAATAACCAGAATGACGTGACAACGATGAGCAACAATCTCATGTTTCGAAGTATGTTTTTTATGAACGAAGAAGCTAGACATTTTTTGGCGCCGCCGATACAATTGTCTACGACTGACGGAGAGTATTTCACACGTAAAACTGGTAATCCAAATTTGAATACACACCATCAGCAGCAACAGCAGCAAGCAGTTGCAGCACTTGTCAATCACGATTCCAGTTCTAGTGTTGAAATCAAACCGTTACAAGTAAGATCATAATAGAATGCACTACTAATCAATTTACTAATTCTATTATAATTATTTTAGCCTCCAAAAGCACGTCCCCACGGGTGTGAAGAGTGTGGCAAGACGTTTCTAATGAAACATCATTTGTCAACTCATATGCGAGGTCATACTGGTGAGCGACCTCATATTTGTCCTGAATGCGGAAAGACTTTTGCTCTCAAACATTGTCTAAGTACTCATTTGCTATTGCATAGCTCAGAACGACCATATAAATGTTTAGAATGTAATAAGAGTTTTACCTTAAAACATCATTTGGTTAGTATTTCATTCAACAATAATATGGCTATTTCACTTAATTATTTTTCTTAATATATGTTAATTATATTTTAGGTAAGTCATGAAAGAGTACATACTCGAGATAGACCATTTGAATGTCCTGAATGTCGCCGTCGATTTCCCCAGAAACGACATCTGACCACTCATATAAAATTCCACTCTGGTGAACGACCATACTCATGTTCTGTAAGCAATTCTTTGATTAAAATGGATCTTTCTGAATAGTGTGTTAAATTACTTATCAAATTTGTAATGCTTACAGGTTTGTGGTGAGACTTTCTCGCGTGAAGAACATCTAGTCATGCATTCAAGATTCCACGGAGGAACACAACCATTCGTATGTCCAGACTGTGGAGCAGCATTTTTGCGTAAATTTGAATTGGTTAATCATGAACGGCAGCATGGTCGTATACCTGAATCTTGCCCTGCTTGTGGTAAAGAGTTCTTACAAAGACGCACATTATTAGTTCACGTAAGAAATTGTGGTCTTAATTCATCGACGCCAGTACATAGATCTCCTTATACTGCAACTGCAAGCAAAGCATGCCGGTATACCTATTAATTAATTTTTTTGATTTAAAAAAAAATTTATGAATAAGTATTGAGATTAATATTTATAATTATTTATAGTGAATGCGGTGAAACATTTGCTAGTGACGAAGGACTAGCACTTCATATGCGATTACACATCGGTGACCATAGTTTCCTATCTGATATTTGTAGTCTAGCTGCTACATTGAAACAAAGTGTACAAGGTGTATCAAATGGTATTGCGAATGTACAAAATCATCATCAATCACAACATCAATCTGGTGTTGTAGCCAATAAAAAATCTCACTATTGTGGAGACTGTGGCCGTGGCTTTACTCAAAAACATGGCTTACAACAGCATCATGTCAAATACCCAAATGCAACATGTAAAGATAAGCCTTTTGCTTGTCAAAAATGTGGTAAAAGTTTTATGCAAAAAAATCACCTTGTATTACATGAACGACAACATATGGATCCACCACCATCTAGAAATCGTAATGCTACCACCTCAGCTGTCCAATCAATACAACATTTACAGACTGAACAAGTTGGCTTGCAACCGACTCCTCTTCATACAACTATCTTGGGACTACAGCCTATTAGGCATATTCAATCTGGTAGTCAACCTCAACTCTTAAGACATCCCAGTGAGGCCCATTCAGGGTCATAATAACTGCCTTGTTTTATTCTTAGATTTTTTTTTAAAAAAAGATCTATATTTTCTTAACAAAATTGCAGTTATTCATTGATTTTTCTTGAACTCGAATCCCAAAATATATTTGTAGTGATAGAGGTTTTATTATTCAGAGTATACGTTAAATATATTTTGATTACCTAAATGTATTATTTTATGCATGAATGCAAATCAATTTAAACATTTATTTTTGACTAAAAGTATGGCATCATCAGAATTTAAGAGTGTTTTTTTTTTTTATTAGGTTTTTTTTTTTGCTTGCTCTTCAAGTAAATATGTTTACTTAAATATCAAATCTATTTATATGTATAACTATATTAAAAAAAAAAAAAAAAAAAAAAAAATTAGTTTCATTATTACAATTAGAAATATTTTATTAAAATGTATTAATATTAACATGAATATATTATATTATATATATTATCATTGTATACTGCACCTAAGGTTGAGTTACAGCTGAATTGATTTTCAATCCATTCAAATCAGTGTAGCAATGATAGGAATTTTATTTATTTTGCAGCTATTCATTTGGAAATAATTTCCTATATTTGTTTGTCTAATTGAATAAAATACGTCCTCATGTTAAAAGTATAATTAAGTACCAAACATACTATGAGTTTGTAAATGTTGTGATTTTTTTTCTTAATTTTTTTTTTTCATACCTAATCAAATTTATCTAGGTAGACTTATTAGACAAGATATTAAAATTAATTTTTCTGGATCTTATCTTAGTGTGTAAAACATGAACATAATGTGTGTATTATTGTTCAATAAATAGTAATACGCATGCATTGAATGTAATAAGTAAAAAATCCCAAGTTTTAATGGGTGCTACTAATATGATGTAAAAATATTTAAATGATAATTTTATTTTATTTTAATTTAATTTTTTTTTTTACTTTCTTGTACCAATTAATTGTAAATACTTAACATTAAGTAATATAAATATTATATATATATTTGAAGCGTATTAAAATATAGAAAAAGTTAGCACATTTATATATTTTTCAATTTTTTTATGAAAAAAAAAAATCAATTTTATTTATCTATATGAACATTCCATTTGTTGGTCGTAATAAATTGTATAATTTTAGTTGTTTATTGTGTGGGGGAACAAGTTGTAATGATAGATTGCCTTATATAGAGTTAGGAACAATAAATAATATTTAATGTATGCAATATAATAATTATATCTATACCTACACATACCTATGTTTTCTTCATAAAAATGACAATTTTTAATTGACTCGAATAGAATGCCAATAATTAACATTTTACACAGTTTTAAAGCAAATTAATGTATTTTATTTAATTAAAAAAGATTTTATTGATTTGAAATATAATTTTTTTACCATTAATTTATTGTTTAAATGAAGGACAAGTTCTACAATTATACCCATTGTATAAAAATAATTATTAGACACGTGTCATATTTTATAATAAAATATAAATTGAAACTTCAATTTTGCCATGAAAAAATAGACTATGCTTCAGCTAGGGCTTTCAATATTCAATTGCTTTAAACAGATATGGTTTAGAAAATTGTCAAATAAACAAAATACAATAATTTGAGTAATGTTTTATTTGTGATAACCTTTATAAAAACATTAATTGTGAAATAATCTAAACCTAACAATGAAAATAACATATATATATATACAGAATAGTGCAAGCTTATGTTATAACACAAGCTTATTTGTCATCAGTCTTAGGGTGAATAGAAATTATTTGAGAAAAAGTCCTCAACGTTTTAATTTTTCACCACTTCTGTAAAATTAAGCAATAATAATTTGAATAATATTGTAACAAAATTAATCTCAATCGCTTACTTGAAACCAAACTTGGACAACAGAGTCTGATTGTTTTTCCCAGTACTTTTAGATAATCCGGTCCTTGGACATGAACGCTTAACCTGTTTCGGTGTTACCACAGAAAAATTGTCTGTTTCTTTTGTACTCTGACTACCAAATCCTTCATCTATATCATTTTCATGATTGACCTGCTAATAATAGAGGATAGTTACACTGTCACATGTCTTATAGAATATTAAACAATCGTTCATATTATTTATTATTGAGTTATAAGAAATGTATACTTATTTTATATTATAAAATGAAAATATTTTATTTCTATAGATTAGATGTACTTTAATTTATATACATTTTATAACAAGTTAAATTCATGTATAATTTATATAAACAAAATAATCATGTAAGACTATTATAAGAGGATACTGTAATGAAAATATTCTAATGTTTATGATTTTAAACCAATTGTTTTAAGTGTATTTTAATTTTACATTCATAACTATAATAGTATAATACCTAATAAAAAACACAAATATTAACTGTATCTTAAATAATTTAAATCTTGAAGCATAATAATATATATGTAAGATATTATACTTACTTTTTTAGTATCATCTTCTACTGAAGTATAATCATTTGAGTTGTTTTGGTATTTTTGTTCCTCACTGTATTCTTCTTTATTTGTAACCACTCTACTATTTGAGTAACTTTTCCAACTAAAGGCTGATAGCATTTGACTAGGCAGTTTTTTGTCAAATGTTTTTGTCTCAACTTCCTTGTTTTTAAGAGACTGCAGTAAATTGTTTTCATTAATATTACTAGAATTTAAAGAGATATTCAAATTGTCATTAGTATTTTTATTTTTATAAATGGTAATCTTGCGGCATTTAAACGGATTTATTGATTCTTCTTCAACAACTTCACTAATATTGGATGTTGGAGGAGAAAAGTACCTAGAATAATTAGTTTTTATAAAATATTTAATCAAACAAAATAAAAAAATTTTAATAACTAACCCACTAACTATTTGTACATCTGGATCTATAACTGTATATTTTCTTTTAGATAACTGTTTTAAAAATGAAGGCGATTCATTTTCATCTATATCTAATTTTGAATTAAACAGTTTATCTGTAATTTTACAATCTTTGGAATATGTTGATTTTATAGACTTATGTTTTTCTTTAGTAATAATGTCACATTTTTCCAAGACTTTTTCATTTTCATAAATTTCATCAAGAGTATTTAGAATATCATCTTCAGTCACTAAAAAAAAAAAATATAAGTAGTATATAAAAATTAATTTAGGAGTCTGTGTCTATATTGAACAATAAGTACCAGGAAGACGTTTTTTTACTACTGATGATTGATGAGTTGATGAAGAATGATTGACATTTTTGGAGACCTTGGGACTTAAAGTTGAAGTACTCTTAATAATTTCACGAGTACATTGTTCAGAATTATATTTAAATGGTTGATAATCTTTTGACCAAATACTTTTATGGCGAGCTTGAATAATTTTCTTTTTCACAATTTTATTAGAAGTCTACAACCCCCAAATCAATAATCGATTAAATAAATATAATATGTTATCAGTATAATGAGTATAATCTTACTAATTGAATATCTGGATCCCAATCATCCATAATTTCTAAAGAAAAAGGATCTATATTTCCTAGTGCAAGCTGATAAGCCTGATCCTTAGTTAGTTTTGAAACAAGTACAGGTATATTAAGGTCTGATAAATCGTTTAATGGTATTACTCGACGAGATAATGGATCGAATACAGGTTGGTATTGGAACATGCGATCAGCATCCATAAATTGATCACGGTATTCAGGTGGAATTTTAATATTCATAAAAGATCCTAATCTTGAAAGTGCCTAAAATATTGAAACAATAACATTTTATTAATTATTGGATTAAAAAAAAACATAAGAATAAATTATTGGAAAATATACTTTGTAGATATCAGGTTCACTTGTTCTAGTAATGAATTGTCGTGCTTTAATCAATCCTATTCCAGGAATAGAAGGTAAATAATCACAGCCTGATAATATACACATATAACGAAATTTATCTAAACTAAACTGTTCAGGTTGAATATTCATTGATAGATGTAATTTTTCTTGTTCAATTAATATACCAGCACCATTTAGGTCCATTTTAAATAACACCTGTAAGCATAATAAATATAAGACTTTTTATAAATATTCAAAGCATATAAATCAGTTATTTTACTCGTTTGCAACCAAACAGCAACAAATCTGAGTCTTCTGTAATAACTATATGAGCAATTCCGCTTAAATTTAAATATGCTAATTGAGAATCTGCTTCATATGGTGCTACAATACAATCAACATTAATCTCCCTACATCGCTTAATTAGATTCAGTGCCATTTTATGGGTAACATCGATACTGCGCCTTAAAAGTGATGAAGCTTCTTTTCCTTTATCCAAACGCATTAATTCGGCTGCTTTCTTTCGATTTTGTTCTCTTAATCTAAATAAAATGAATTATAGAAATGTAAGAACCAATAATTTGACATAATTAAAATAATTATTATATTATTACTTTCGCCGTTTTGCTTCAGTATCAGCTTTAGCAGGTAAATGTTGTCCATCAAAAACTAAAATTGGTTTAATATTTTGATCCAACAACATAGACACAAATCGCATACAATAGTATACATACCTAAAAAATTACAAAAATCACAAAATTAAATTAAATAAAGTAGTATTATACTTAAAACTAATTATTATTAAATTGTAAAAATCTTTTAGTCATAGATTTTAAATTTATTTATTTTAAAAAAATAATCTTATTATTTAAAATTGAACATTCTAATTTCTGTTAATAATATGCATTATTACTAATGTCAGTAGAAACAGTATGAAGCTGTAAAGTTAAACCAGAGCCAGTTTTAAAGTAAAACGATGCCTAGATCAATTATTGTAAGAAAACGCCTTAGAAATTATTTGAGGTCTAAGGGATAAGCTCCGCTGGCCTCTGCTAAAGCTAGCTTTGAGTATAGTATTATAGAAATATTTTAAATAAAACTTTATACACTATATAATTGGGCCAAGTATAAAAAATATAAGTGAATATTTACAACTATAAAATATTGATAAATAATTGGATGATCTTAATTCATTTTGTCCAATTTTAGCCTCAACTAATGTCTAATGTCATATATGAAAATAAATGTAATTGATTTAAATACTTATAACATCTAAATCTTAGTTAGGCTAATGCAAATTGCATGAATATGCTTAATATTTTGTAACACAACAGTCAACATTTCTGAAAGTGTACAAACTAACAACATTTTTCTAATGAATACATTTTCAGTAATGTTAAATATATTTTTCAATTCTTTTCATAAATTAACAATTTCTATGAATATTATTCTTCAAAATAAAAAACAACATAAAAAGTACTTTAGACCATTCTGTTAACATTTAAACTAAATTTATAAAACTCAAAACCTTCTTACGGTTCATTTAGTTACACTTCTGGTTTAAATTTTAGAAATATTAAAATGTCAGACAGATTTTTGATTATTCATATCAAAAGAAATTAATTCTGTTGTTAAAACGAGATAATAATATATATGAAGACTTTTTAATATTCAAATATTATTTCATTAAGGTACACATTATAAGTGTAGTACCTATACAACTTTAAGAATATTTTTTGTTGTACTCACGCTTGACAATCTTCTCCTCTTGCCAATTTCTCAGCACAAGTGTATACACCTTTGTGTAACCAGCAATACGCATCGATGGCCACAGTACATCCGGAAAACTCCGACACATTAACGGTCCTCCATGATTTTTCTAAAAGTGGTATCAGCCCTTGAATACCCATATCTCTTCAAATTTAAATTCGTCTGATTGCGTTTAAAACGTGGACTTCCAAAAAGGTAAAGATAATTAAATATTTATAAAAAAAAAATATATTGTATAATACTTTATACTTAAAAAAATAAAATTTTTCTACTGTAATAATGTTTTCGTTCAATAGATTTATAGTAGTAACATATAAAATAATAGTTGCCTTTGATACATCGACTACATGTCTAAATTCTAATCGTATCATTTTTATATTGTATTTACCCGCCAAAATATTGATAACATTATACATTGTTTTACATACCATGGTTATAAAACAATTTTATTCAACTATTGATCCTTGATAGGTTCAATAAATCATAAGCTTAGTGCTTACCATAGGTTTACCATTGGATCAACTAATAACTTATTTAGGACCATCAATATTGATTTCATTTTCCTGATTTAATCTTAATAGTTTTTTGCTACTTTCATTTCACATTTTATAGCATCAACATTTATGTTCAATAACTCCTAGAAATTATATAATAGTTTTAAAATATTTAATTTAATATAATTTGAAAATATATATTATTTTTTATAATTTTTCGATCACGATTCATGACCACAACTACTTTTATCCGTACAGACTTTAACCATCTAATATGTGATAATATCTATAATATAGGTATGTGATACACCTATGTATTATAATTTATAATAATTGGGCTATAATCTTTGCAAAAATGATTGGATGTCGTGAAAATTCTAATTTAAAGAAATGTTCAAAATTCTACAGAAAAAAAAAACAAATTTTGTATTTTAATCGTTTATTGGTTTCTTAATAGGTCTAATCTGAATATTTTTATTTATTTTTTTGGTGGAGGGGTGGGAGGGTGGTCAGGCCAATCCCCCTAATTGCGCCTATGATCGTTACCCTGAACCCGTTTGATTTACTAGGAATTCCAAACCTAAACAACAAATACAATTTTGTGATATAATTAATATAATTTTATATGTATTATATTTTATTTCAATTAAGTTAATTGTAACTTTTAGTCTTGAAAACTTGTGATTTACAAATTGTTATCATGTATGTAAATATGTTATAGTTTATTAGAAGTTTAAACGACAATTTTTAATCTCAAAACTAATTAATATCAAATAAATATTAAATTATTATATCGATTAATCCATAGGTTTTGTATAAATTTTGTTCTACTGGTAAATCTTGGTTAACTGGTATACCAGCGTGCTTTTTTAATCTGATTCCTGATAACATCAATAATTAATAATTAAGGTGAATTTATTAGTTCAGCGGATAAAATGTTTTCTTTTTTAGAATATACCATTCTAATTTTTCCCTTTTTAATAAATTCCACCTCGTTTGTTTTTTTAGTTTTTGAATCAATGAGTATTTTTTTTTACTTGGCTAAAATTGCCATTTGAAGGTTTGAAGATTTTTTGGTTGGATTTATAAATGCTTTGGTTTCACTTACCTGTGCGACAAAACAATTATTAAATTTAAATTAAACACAAATATTTAAGTTATTTTCGGGAAACTCAATTCCATTATTTTATTACTAATTTGTAACCCACAATTGTCAACACAATTCAATATTTAATAGATGGAGATTAACTTCATATAGTTATATAGAGGTAGGAGTCTTTTCCCTTTTGATATCTCATCAGATACAAACAATACCAAAATATTGAAACTTATTTGCAACTAAATTAACACTCACGGGTTCTTATATGCCTATAGTTACACATAAATTGTGGAAAAATATAACTTAAAAATGGAAATATACATATTAACTATAGAAGATATAAAGTAAAAATACTTTTATTTTAGTATAAGTATTCATGGAACGTTTCAAGTTCAAACTGTAACTTTTTTCTAATACAACAAAATATCAAAAATTGTTTAAGGGAAAATAATTATTTTATGAGTAAATTTGATATAGTAGATCTTTTATAGTATATCTGATGTCGTATAAATTAGATCTTTAAATACTCATAAAATAGAACATTTTTTTTTGTATAGGTTGAAAATTATTGTAAAAAGAATTTTGTTTTAAATTTTTAATCTTAAATATAAAAACAAATATTTTTATGCATTTCTAACTACAAAATAATTAGTACATTTTTATTTAGTAATTTTTGTCAAAAATTCTACTTTAAGCGATTATAAAAAAAAAAATATTAAGATTAAAGACTTTCAACATTTTTTCATTGAGAAATCAACAACTTTTGAGGAGCTTTGTATTAAATATCATGTATTTCTACTCAACGATTAAAATTAAGAATTAGTCATTACATTTAACAGTAAAGATCACCTTCAGTACCTAAAAAATAAAAATACATACAAATTATTAAGTAACTATGCCAATAGTCTATTTCCGTAGAGAATAATGTTGTATTAAATTCATCGTTTAATAGACTGATGTTCAATTGTCACTGCTTAACAGGATTTCTAAAACATTATTTTTTAATTTTCAAGAATAATTTATTCATAGTTATTACTACTCTGCGTCAAAGATAACGAATAACTCAGAAAAATGGACCTGATTTCTGGTGATCTCTACAACTTATTTGCAGAATTTTGTATTGTATATTTGTATAGTATGGCATATTGGTAACAAGTAAAATCAAATAGGTACATAACGATTTCTCATAGATTGTAATTATACCTATTAAATTATATTATATAAATAGGAACTATTTTTTTCATAAGTATTAGTTTAAATTTGAATACAATTAAATATTTTTTGTGGATATATACGTATATTACTATATTTTATAATATACATAATGACTTTTTAAAAACATTTAAATTAGTTTTATGATATTATTGTCTACTTAAAACATGAATGCTGAAATCTATATAGGTATTTACAATAAGTCAATATTGATTCAAAAGTTAATAATAATATAAAATAGAAATAATAAAAATTATAATAATAAAATCAATTTTTCCGAAAAAAAATTAAATCAATCTATCGTAACACTAATAGTAAAATAAATTATTTTAATATCAAAAAACATCACGCAATATGTATATTTACTTATAGTAGTATAAGTTAACAGATTATCTCCGTTCAAGTTCGTTTTTCGCTTATAATGATTAATAATTTAATTCAAATTTAATACGCTTATTATAGTGACCTTTTTAATGACAAGGTACACTCGACTTCTACTTTTAAGTAAAGTAGTTACTTACTTCTACCATTTTATTTAAAATGATGTTGGTATAAAATATAATTATTTACATATTATTAAATTTATTTATTTTTCATAAAAAACTACTGTCAATTGTTACTTGTTAAGTAAACATTTAGTTTTATAATAAAAATACAATGATGATTTGAATTTACTTGTATTAATTATTAAAAAAAAAAAAAAAAATGATAATTATATAGATTTAACTATATGCAATTACTGATAGAATACAATACATATACAAGAATAAATAAAGGATAATATTATAATGAATATAATAAATAATTATTATTTTATAGTGATAATAAACATTTTATTATAATAAACTACTTTGACCAAAATCTTCGAATCATATCTGCCCCCTTTTCACCAATCATTAAACTTGGGGCATATATATGTCCATGCGGAATAACTGGAAGTATTGAACTGTCTACTACTCTTAATCCTTGAATACCAATAACTTGTAATTTATTGTTGACGACATCCCCCATTCTGCAAGTACTACATTGATGATGCCAGGTTTTAGTTAAATGTTGCGATATACAAGCCCAATAATCGTCAGATTTAAATGGTAGATGTTCACATTTTGGGTATGGTTTTGGACTTAGTTTAGCTGCAATATCTTTAAATGCCTGCGTTTCTTCTACTAATTTCACTGCATATTTAAGTGCATAAATATTGTCGTCTAAATCAGTAGTATTGTTATCATAATAACCATAGGACATAATGGGTGGATCTAATGGGTTTTTGTTTTTCAAAGTTACGCTTCCACGAGCGTCTGGTTGTAACAGAACAGTACCAATGATAAACATATTTGGTTCATCTGATATGGGAGCAAATATTAATTCGACCCCTTTGCCAGATGGTGTCCTTATATAACCAAAACCATCTGCTCCTGCTGGTGCTGTTAATAGTCCTCGACCATATTTGGACCATTCTTCAAATAAATGTTTGTCTGATAAGGTAGCTTGCGTTATTACTGGTCCAGTTTGATTTACTTCAAATTTTATAGCTGTAATATTAAAAATATGTATATATATTATATAATGTTATTCAATACATCTATAAATATAAAATAATTCTAATGAAGTGTTAACGTCATTTAAAAAAAAATTACAATTTATAAATAGTAATCTCAAAAGTAAGGACAGAAGTGATTTTAATGTATAATATATTTGGTTTGTACACCTAACTCATTACAACAATATATCAAATAGTTGAAAATATTCATATAAATTTATCGAAATACTGAACTAGTGTAGTGCCTCCCCCCTAGTTCAATACACCTTTATAATAAAATGTATTTAAATATAACTGCGTATCTATATAGGTCACTCAGTTACTTAATCACACCATATTATAATTTTCTATTTCGTCTTACATAAGTGGAATAAAATTAAAAACCTATCTCTATACTTTACTCATCAGGATAACATTATTAAAATAAAAATATTATAGTGTCTATAATAATTATACAAAGAACATTGTCTATTATTCCAAAAACAAATTTAATATTTTTATTTTTATTTTTTAAAGTAATTAATATTTATTAATAACTAGAAAATTAAAAAATTTTTATTATTGACTTTCAAAGTTTTCTGACTCATGACGTTTCACAAAAAAAATGACTCATGTCGTTTTTGCAATCATTGATTCAATTAATAATATATGTCGTCCCGGTTAACTTTATTTTGGTTAATGTAGAAAACTAATGAAAAACAAAAAATATTGTGTTCAATTTGAAAACCTTATAGATATAAAAATAAAATGTTATAAATAATCAAAACATTTCAAATTTTCACCAAATATTTATGTTTGAATTTCCTAATATGCTTAGTATAATTTTTAAAATATTTTGAATCTTTTTGAATTATATATAGACATTTGAGATTTTCCATTTTTTTTTTTTTTTTATATATAAATTACTAGCTGACCCGG